TAGTCACGTGGCGCATTTACGGCGTAACTTTCCAGATTAGATCTGGCGCGCTACATACGTCTATATCCACATGTGGATTCAAGTCGAGAGAGCGTAGATAGAGGTCGAAGTAAAGTAAAAGGTGCCGCGAAAGGGTAGCGGTGGGCGCGTAAAGCCGCTTTCGGAGGGAATATTCGTTGGTAAAGTTTGCCGGCGAAATGAAGTTGGTAAGTTTTTAAATTTCGCCGTGCCAACCCCGGAATATAGATCCTTGGGTAATCTTGCGCGAATGTCCTCGCGCCCACAATGCAGCTCCGGATCCTTCGAATTCGCCCGCGTCGCGCTCAAAACTTTTATTCCCACACGTAATAAATCTTCAAATTTATTACACGTAATAAGCGCATCAAATTTATTCGCGCGAGCGCGTGGATTCTTCAGTCAAACTCAATTCTCTGGGCAATAATACACTCGTTTCTCATAGTAAAGATATCAAATATTTATATATATATATATATATGGCATCTCATAAAATACTGCTTGACAGGATATTTCTTAAATGCTGTCCAATGTTTTAGGAGTTCATTTTTTAAATAACTTTAGGATACAAAGCTTATATACACCCATATTGTCTTAGTTTTAGAGGTACAAGACGTTAAAAATTCTATAAAATTATGCTTTTCTTATAATCTCTTAAATTAAATAAGAGATTTTTTTTTACAAATTGGCAGGATGTCTCCTTGAGTTTTTACCTATAATTGCTGTTTTATATGTACAATATGCATAGAAAAAAAGTTTAGATAATACAATTCGGCCGACCGAACTTGTATATATGCCAATGCACAGAATCATTTTACAGGTAAAAAATGTAAGTGCTGTCTATTCACTAGTCCGAATTTGAAAAAGAAATTACTAAAACGAGACCTTTAAAGTTACACGTTCTTTTTTTTCATAAAATAACCTTTAAAATAATCTCAATGTAATCAACTCAATGATCAAAATATTGGGCAATTTTTAAGAAATATTCAGCATAACAAAAAATAAATCGGAATACTTTGTTTTTCATTTATATTACATTATAGAAAGTTGTAAACAATTTTTGAAATTATAACGTATACGTTTGACATTATATTAAATATGAATTGCCGTAAATATAAGCTGCGCGTGCATGTGAATTTTAGCTCGGCAACTATTAACCTCTTAGCCTTAGCGGAAAGTGTATATATGTACGCTCTGAAAAAGTAGCTTCTCATTTGCGAAATACATATGTATACGTACGCCCGATCGTCAATGGGAAAGTCGTATGTGCGATTATTTTTATTTCCGCACATAGCGAACGATTTTCACACAGCCGCATAAACATATAACTGCGCGCATGTGAATTTTAGCTCGCAACTATTAACCTCTCTTAGCGGAAAATGCTCTGAAAAAGTACCTTCTCATTTGCGAAATACATTGCATACACATACGTACTCGATCGTCAATAGGAATCGTCCGTGTACACCGATTATGTTCCGCACGCAGCGAGCGATTTTCAGCTGGAATGCCCTTTGATGCCCTTCAGTTAAAGAGTCAAATTCACTTTAGCGAAACGCGCTCGGAAAACAAATGCGCGTCGCGCGACTACTTTACGCCGCCGGTGTGTGACTTTATTCCGTTGGCAGCAGTGCAGGTTGATTTTTTAATCGGCGACAACTTCAGTTGCGCGGGTGCGGGCGGTGCGGCGTCGCGTCAGCTACTTGCGAGACTGATTCGGAACGATGAGTTCAACTCCCGCAAGACTCCGGAATGCTCTCAAATCGGCGCGGTATTGTCGCCGACGTGCTAACGTGGTCAGTATATATTGTGGGCGAACGGCTTGCGAATGTAAATGTCGTTAAAGAGGACCGCGGCCGGCCAGCCTCCTTGGGGTAGAAGACGCTCTCCGGACTCATTTCGCATTCGACGCGTCTCGCTGCCGCTCGCACCGGCCGCGGTGCGGCGCGGCGGCGCGGCGACGCGACGTTCGCGTGTATATTTGTTAACAATTCCCGGAAGATAGTTCGGTGGCGAAGCCATACTGCGGTAACGCGCGCGCGGACATTCGGACACAGCCCGAGGGGGCCGCTGGACCGTCTCCGTCGTAGCAGCACAGCGTCGCGCCCCCTCCACCCCCCCTTCACCCGCCGCACTCTCCGGCCCCTTCCCCCCAAGGACGGTAAGGTTTGCGCTTAGTTGCGGCTTAATGTGCGCCCTCCTTGCGAGCTAGGCGCACGTCGTCGCGCTTCGAAGTTCGCTTATGCGATGGTGCGGGTGGTTAGCGAACTTAAAGTCAATCTTGGGTTATGCAAACGCTTATGCTTGGTAAAACGCTTGCTGCGGGCGAGATTCCGGTAACTCGCCGGAGAGCAGAAAGGTGCGAGGAAGGCAGAGAGAGAGTGTCGACAGGCCAGGGGGATAGAGAGAGAGAGAGAGAGAGAGAGAGGGCGGAGATAGAGAGGGAGCGTATAGAGGGAAGAGAGAGAGAGAGAGGGGGGAGGGGGGAGAGTGAAGGAGAGAATTGGCTCTGATATAGCGTGTTTTCGAAAGTTACAGGACCCATCTGCCAGCGATTTCGCAGATTGACCGCTCCAACCTAATCTGACCGTAGCTCCGGGGTTATTGATGGATTTGCATAGCGAGGGGAGGAAAGAAACATCGAATAGACGGCGTACACGGTGGTCTTAATTGGATCGAATTGCGCTCTGGCTGCGGTTCACTTGCTTGTCACGTATTGTGCGCGTGTTACGCCGGCGCATATCATTGTTATAGGCGATCGTTACACGCTCCGTTGTACGTGTAAGCTACGATTTTTACGAGCGAATCGAATCCGCGTAAAATGCACCACGGGGAAAATGTCAGAGTGAGTATGGAGAAAGCTTATTTTGATATTTATGACAGTATTTTGGGGATATTTTTCGTTTTATGCGATATTGAAATCCTCTATAAGCATTATTTTTTTTGTTTTACGATTTCTTTTTTTTTTTTTTTTTTTTTCGTGATCGAAATTTATTGTTCATGATCTTGAGCATTAGTAATTAAATCTCTTTCTATTTTGACAGAGTATATAACATGTATACTATATAATATAATAATCTATTAAATATTGTTTACAATTCAAATCAGTTTAAACAAATTAGATTAATACAATAAGAAGAAGTGTCGACAGACAGGGAGAAAGAGAGAGAGGACGGAGATAGAGAGGGAGCGTATAGAGAGAAGAGAGCGAGAGAGGGGGGAGAGGAAAGAATTGACTCTGATATAGCGTGTTTTCGAAAATTACAGGACCCATCTGCCAGCGATTTCGCAGATTGACCGCTCCAATCTAATCTGACTATAGCTCCGGGGTATATATAAAATAGTAACCGATAATAGTAACTGATTATCTTTAATACCTATAAATTAATATTCGATTGCTACAAACTTTTATTTTTTTTGTGTGGATGCATTATTACTTAAAATACTTTCTGAAATAATTTTCTAACATTGTTGCTAAACAAAATAATGAAAATTTTTATACCTTTAGATCGATTATAGATAACAAGATAATTTAAAAAAGAATTATAAAATTTGAATATATATTAATAGTCTCTCTCTCTCTCTCTCTCTCTCTGTCTCTGTCCCCTTCCCTCCTTCTTTCTGTCTTCTTTTCTTTCTTTTTTCAGAGAGAAAAAAATCCTTAAAAATTCGCGATTTGATAATACTTAATTACACACAAGGCATGCAATAATAAATGACGCTATTATAATTTACGCGATCAATATGTCAAATTGTTCTTTTCCAAACAATTCGTTCAACGTAGAAAACGAGATTCAGTTGAAAAGCGCATTGAAAAGCAACTCGTTCAAAGGGTTTCGGTGCGAAGCAATAGTTAAATTAGCTTTACAGCATTTCCCTTCTCCGAACTCTCTTCCAATCTCTGCTATCGATGTTACATTATATTATACGTATTGTGTGTACGATATAAACTCGACCATGATGAGAGATTTTTATGCCGACGGTACGTTTTAACGAAGCAAATCTCGTAAACGCGCAAAAAGATGTTCTCATTATGTATTCACTATTAAATTGAATAACACGGTTATCAGAGAAAAAATCCGATGGTTCTTCCTTATCTTTCCATTTGTCCGTTTTACAAATTGACATTCGAAAATGTTTTCAACCTTTCCTTGTTCGTCGATTCATTCTTAGACTTTATACGCGAATCCGTTATTTCACGTAATTTTTTAAATCGCGTGAAACCACTATTTGCTACTATTTCATGATTAAATTCTTTGCTTGACGTTTATTAGGGCACATTCTAGTAAATGCGGCTCATATTTAGTTGCGCAAGAAAGCTTTAGTTGCACAAACATATTTTATGCAAATTTAATGTAAAAATTTAGTTTTCATAAAAATGATGGACGAGTAAAGTACGCGAAAACAATTCAAAAATTAGGATAATTGTAAATTATGATAATTAAAAGTGAAAAAATTGTGAATTGTGAAAACAGAAAGCTTTGAAATCTTGTAAGTTGAAATGATTAGGAATTAAGAAAATTGAAAGTTGTAGACAAGTTAATAGTTAAGACTTTGGATTTTTTACTCTTTGAAATAGATTTTTAAGTATTTTGATTCTTTTAAATTTCTCTCTCTCTCTCTCTCCCCCCCTTGTCTGTCTCTTCCAAACTTTCACACTCTGAGTGATATCGGAGTTATAAGCTGATTTAGAAATATTATTTTAATCGTGATTAAATCATGTCTAAACGGTCTAAATAAAAATTTATAATTTTGTTATATGTTTCGCGCTAAATGTAACTGTAAATCTGCGCTTTAATTAGAAGTGTTTACATTAAGAAAAGTATTTAGAGTCAAACGATTTTAATGTCTGAAAATAAATATCTAGGTTAAATACAAGTTACATCATACTAGTGCTGTTTAATAATCAAACATAATTATGAGACAATTTCGACTTTCGTTCAATCGAGTAGCGCCAATTTCGTGACGGTTTGTGGTCGATAGACTATCCGTTACCATGGGACACGAGTGGTAAATATCGTTCGACATTAATAGGTCAAGCCATGTGACAAAATCAATTCAAGTGATATTTTATTTTATGTTTTTTTTTTGTATGTTTTAGTCTTTATATATATATATTTTTTTTTATCGACGGTCTCGGCACGATTTCAAAATTCCTCTCGAGTTACGTATATCCGCTACGTCGGTCTGCGGGGAGGAGCGTGTGTAGTTCGCATCATCGCTTCTGCATCGAAAAGCGGAGAAGGCTGTTGGTTGTTCGTGACAAGGTACGCCCCAGCAAGAAACGTGATTCCAATTGAAATCTTCGGCCGAACTTCTAGCGGTCATTCGTCTTTGTCTTGGAAAGCGCGAGTCATACGTAAATCGAAAAAACATCGTATTTTTCTCACTCGGTTTTCGACATTCGGACATTTGTAGCAACAAGCGTTTAAACGTTTCAGTTTCCATGAGAAAATACCATTTTCACTTTACCGACGTATTTTAATTATTTCTGGAAAACTTCATTGCCAATTCAATTCACATTAACCCTAGAATTATATTATTTTCCTGGGACTAATAATAATTTTCCTCGACATATATAATTTTGTATAACTTAAATATTAAATCTCCTTTTATATTATGACTTTAAAAATGAATCACTTTTTCATTTTTATAAGTAAATATTATAAAATGAATTTCAAGGCAGCGTGTCGCTATTTCTTTCTCTCTCTCTCTCTCTCTCTCTCTCTCTTTCATTATTGTAGTTTTTATGCAAAATTAAAAGATCCATTTAATGAAACAAGAGAGAAATAGGGATTATAGTAATGCAGTGTCAACTTAATCGATTTCTGTTGCGGTAATTTACGAATTTTGCTATTATATGCGCTATTATTAATAGTTCAAAGACCGAAATACATATTACAAAGTTACTATTTCAATAGATTAAATGCGCGTTTATCGATTTCGGCATTATGCACAGTTGGCTCGCAAAATGATGCCGATTCCACGCGTCACCGAGCGTTAATCACTTCAACCTGAATAAAATTACGGGTCGTTTTGTGTGGAGCGTCCGTGCGCTGAATTGTGCACCACTAATTACCGTTGCGTTCTCGCCGTTGTTATCCAACCATGCGGCGGACGAATACGTGCATTTATCTCCCCGGTTTTAGCTTTGCGAATCTCTTACGAATAATAGTCGGGAAAGACCGTCGTTAAAATATAAAACAAATGACATTGAACGAGTAAAAAGAAAGATGAATTCTCATTAAAGATATTAACAGATATTCAATCTTAATCGCTTTGAGCGCACATATTGTAACATTTTGCAGCACTATAAAATATCTAAACTAGTAATGTTTTAAATATTTCTTTTATTCATTGTATTATTAGTAAAACATTACGTTAATAAATATATAATATTATTATCATTTCTAATATTTAATTTGAAATTTAGTAAAATTAATTTTGTACATCGAGAGAAAATATCAGCAACGGTTTACGTCTCAATCATATTATATTAGGTGCAAAAGATGCGTTTTAAATACTTTCAATATTTTCTTTTTTATATTATTGGCTAGATATTAATTCACGTGTTGTATCCACGCGCTCATTTTACTTACGATGAATGATATTCGCTCTGAAATGTCGGCAGCTCAATAATTCTAGCATTCGCGTTATTTCTAGCGTCTAATTAGCGGATCATTTAAGTCAAGCTTCGCGGCTGCAGTCAACAATACGTCGCGCGTCTTAAGCTTTTAACGCTTTGATGCGCGATTCCAATTTGGCGAATCTTCCGCTCTCGCTGAATGGTATGCCTCGATGAATTTCGTGGCAATCAAGCTAATTCCTCTTTCGCGAATGCAATATTCTAGTATGTTAACGTTAATGAGGCCTCTGCAATCTCTAGTTATTTCAGTCAAGTAGTCAGAATATGTCGCAAACAAATTTTATTTCAAGAATCTTCCGTTTTTAGCTCATTAACATAATTGATTTTATCTATTTATTTTAGCTCTTTATAGATTCCATTACACGTATAATTAACATTTTATATTTGAATATGTACCAATTATACATTTTATTTTTAATCACATGATTATTCGTTGAATTTAAATAACAATTTGTAAGAGCTTTTTTTATTATAAATATATCTCAAACGCGTACATAAAAATGTTCACGAGCAACATGTCATTTCTCGGACAATAAACATGTTAATATTTCGAATTATTAAAAAATTGGATTATAAAACAAGATACAAAGAAAGACTTAAAAGAAAATAGCTTTAAGCTACAAAAAGTAAACTTCAAATTAGAGCAATATGAAAAAAAGTTTCTTATAATTTTAGTTATGATTATATTATTAAATAAAAGTTTTCAATAGAAATTAAAATACAACTTTTTCTATAAATAAGGGGAATAAAATATGAATAAAAGACGAAATTAGATTCGGTATTGCTTGGCTTATTATCTCGAATGTTTTTTTTTTTAAATAAAAATCTCTGGCATTGCTGGCAAAACGTAATTAGTGAAATCAATACTACCAAAAGATATTATAATGAAATAACTGAGCTTATAATACTGCAAACCGTTAGGCAATAGAAAAATAAAGTATTATTGGTTGTTCAGCGGGATCGTCTAAATACTCTAAATTAGTTTCAGACTAATTGCATTCGAAATCCGCTTAATTTCTCTCTATTCCGAGTCAAGAGGTTCTCAAGCCAATTGATTTTTATTTTCATCAATCAACCTCGTACCTTGGACCATCGTTCTGGTTCACCGCTATCATCGTAAAAGTCGAGTTAGTTTAATTAGTCTAGGAACTTGCACACACACAAAGACTTTGCAAAGTCGATCCGTTCCATCTATATAACGTTTAATAATGGATGAAAACGTAAATTGGAGTTAACTACATTTTAATATATTTTTCGTATTATTTCTATCTTTGTTTATCTTTTATTTTTATTTATCTATACATTTGCCAAACTATTTCGAATTTTTCGTATTTTTTAACTATTAAAAATTATTAATAATTATTAAAAATTTCTTTGCGAGTAAACGTTCTTTTTAAATATTTGTTATTTTTGGCTATAAAAGGTGTTCGGATGGTGTAAATGTGGTTGGCCATCAATGATCAACTACAATGCAAAATTCACCTCTGTAAACGATTAATGATTGGTCGGCGCTATTGATGTCGCGCTTGATCGACGTGAATTAGCTTCTTCGTAGCGAGCTTGTCATTAAATATTTGCGTATAATTGGCGAATAACGTTGCGTTAGAGGGCGAGCTAATACAAAATCTCAAAATCTCCAGAGACTACAGGTTAGCCGGCTTACTAGTTCGATATCGCGATATTAGTAGGATCTCTGAATAATTCATTTGGCGTTACTGTGCCATTAGTATCGTACTGTACAGAATTTGACGTAGACAGTTAATTTGACGCATAACGACTGAGATATTTAGCTGCACTGGGCATACGATTATATCATTCTAGCTTTCATTTCTCTCTGTTGTGTGAACACCAATCGCGTAAATGCAAATAAATGCTATCAATATGCAAATTATAAGTTAAATTTTGAGAAAAGTCTAGATATTCCAATAACATTATTAATAGTTAAAAATAGTAAAAATAACACTGCGATTCAACATGTCGATAACGCTAAATCATTCCATGCTTGTATCTAATTTAAGCAGAATATAATAATGAGTATTCGAATTGGTATTATCGGTCAAATCGTTGCAGACAATTAGGTATAAATAAAAAATAAAATACGCGCTTATATGCGAGAAATGATATTCTTTTAAATATAGCATTTACATAAATATAATTTTTTTTAGATTAAAATGAGTAATTGATTCAAAATATTAAGATATTTTTATTTGCTTAATTAAAGAATATTGAGAGATAAAACTGATTAGAGGAATAACAGACTAAACTTATAACTCTCTCTTGCAATTTATTTGAAAAATTAAAACAAATATAGGACCTAGGTAATAGTAATCTGATAAAATAAATATTAAGTTTATATTTATATTTCTTTATAAAGCAAAATTGTAAAATACAGAATGTTAAAGATATTTCAAGAGAAATGAATAACATTAGATAAATTATTAAAAAAGTTTGGATATTTCAAATAAAGGACAAATTCATTTTAATTTAATTATTTCAATTTATTTTAATCTGCCTGACTCATATTTTCTTTCATATTCAAGATTTTAAAAAGAATATCAATATTTCCATATATAATTACTATTTATTATTATCTATCGATTTAAATCTAAACAAAATCTAACAAGATGGATGCGAAATTTGTAAATGCTATCAGAAAAGTATTTTAAAAGTATTCGATCGTGCTAAAATGATTCGATTCTATTAACGATACCGTTGACTTGTTCATACGTGAATTCAATACGTGATAATGCCTCTTCGTGAGACCTTTCGATCAGCCAGCTCCCCTCCGTCGTCGCCGTTACATGCTTACGTTTGTAATCCTATAAAATAATTCCCCAAAAGAGCGGCTGTTCTTACGATGTTCTCCAACACGTTCTGCTCGCATCCGCTATCAGACACGGCCGATCGATCTGATTGAATCGCGACTCGGACGTGTCCTTGGTGCGTTTGCGGGAACACGCACAGTGGAGGCAAATGAAATTCCCAGCCTGTCGAAAACAAGTTTTATTTCGTGGCACTTCGGTCCGATTGGGGGCCGCGAAGGGGCGTTGCGGATTGTTGCGCTAGGCGAAGGGTTGCTGCGGTTGGGTGTACGAAGGGATGAAGTCGAGAGAAGAAGAGGGTTGGTAGAGCCTCTCCCCCCTCCTTTCCTCCTCTTCTCACTCGACGATGGGCGACGAGAGTTTCCATTCTTCGATGAAACTTCTTGGCAACTCGTTTGAACGCCACGACCAGCCTCTCCACTTTCTTCCGGATCTTATTTTGCTCGCCGCCGCCGTCGCCGCTGCCGCCGCCGCCGCCGCCGCCGCCGCTGCCGCTCGCGAAACTTTTCCCGATTCCTCGGAGGTGTAACATAATATTTTCGCGGCTCGGCTGGGGACCGCAAGAACCGCGCGTCGGAATAACGCGGTTATCGAGTTCCGGGATTTTAACGTTATCAAATTCGTTATCGTACTCAGGGCGATTACAAGGTTAGCATCGTGACGTTTTGCCTCGTAAGTTTTCTTGAAAAATCAATTAATGCATTGGTTGCTAAGAAGATCTGCTAGTTGATATGAGCGTACTGCTTTTTTCGAGCATTTTTGTGTTTTGTGGTTAGAAAAATTGTAAGCACTGTATCCCTTAAAATTCTATCACAATTAAAAATATGCTCAACTTAATTAATTAGACAAATTATTGTTAATACTATGAAATACTCTTATTTGCCGTCGCTCATGTGTATATACGTTTAATTTCTACACGAAAAAACTTATTATATATAACTAAACTTCTTTAGTTTGCCGTTGTGATCTCGTAGCCGATGCATTAAAGGATGAAGACGATATTTGCCAAGCGGATTCATTATCATTTAACGAAATCGTTACGCGATTGGGCTCGCTTCGCCGGAGAAGTCCGCGTCGAAATGGCGAAAGTGTGAAAACACGTTGTCGGCGGACTAATTAAATTTCTGCATTATTACGAGGACGGCCGTTTCTGCCACTCGGCGAGTTTTAATCTGGCAGAGTAATATCTTAGGCTACATTAGATCTTACCCTCCGCCCCACTGTTAGGGTGGCAGTCGGTTGAACGGGAAGATAAGGGGTTGGCAGAGGTGGTGGTGTGGCAGAGGCCCGGCATAAGCCGTCTGCCTGCCGGCTAATCAATGATTCAACTCGCCAATTACGGAGGCGCCTCGAAAAATATCCTCTCTCCACCCGTTCCCCTGCGTCTTCCTAGCACGTCTGAAATATTCACAGACCTTATCTCCCTTCAATTCTATCCTTCCGCCTTTGCCGTTTTGCTTGTACTTTAACGTATTTTTGAGCTTTCCCATTTCAACCCCTTTTTTAAACACCCGTTTGTGCCATGCCTGTAATGCGCCGCAAATTGTAACAATATCGAATGTTATCTGTCCAGGATTTGATGCACGGAATTAAAATAATTCAAACGATTTATATAATTATTTTATTACATGTAATAATTTTAGAGCCGTTAATTAATTAAAAGCGATAATTGAGTGCGCAGATTGTGAATATAGCAAATCATATATTTATTATTTTTATCACAAATAATGCATTTATTATCATGAGATGCATTTATCTTAGAATGCATATATCAAAGTAAAATTACAATAGAATTTTGAAATAAATTTGAACGTAATGGAATCTTGTTATCTCAAAATTATCCGTGCAATTTATATCGAGAACAAAATAAATTCCTATCATCTTGAAAATTTATCACGCTCTTATTATTCTGTATTTGTTATCGCGAAATTTTATTATGTTTAGGAATGTTAAAGTGTTTCGATTACAAGAGAGTTTATCCGGCAGGAAACGAAGCGGGAAAGCTCGTTTAGAAAAGTTCCGCCGATCCGCGAACGGCCGCGTGCCGCCTGCGTCGTTCGCGCTGAAGACTATTCACTGCCATTCCATCTCGAATTATTCTTTCGCAATTTAATCAACCGGTTATAAAAGAACTTGGCTTGACCTTACAACTTTATTTTTGCATCTCCACGATTCTCACTGGTTCTCCGCCGTTTTTCCTCCTCGGGCGTTCTAAATTAAATTTCCTTTACCTTCGATGCCCAAGTTTCGTGAGCGAGAGGAAGACAGTAAAGGACAGCCAAGAGCTGAGAGGAGAGGATGCGGGAGGAGGGCGAAAGAGGACGATGAGAGTAAAGGGGAGAAGGAGAGGGAGGGAGGGAAAACGGAAGGTAGTAGAAGTAAGAATGATGTAGAAGGAAGTTGGTGGGGGAAGAAGAGGGGACGGGGAGGGAGAGGAGAGAGAAAGCAAAAATAGAATGTACATAAAAAATACACGGCTGCAAGCGGTAGCTGCTTCTTGCCGTAGCCTCGGCTCGCTGGCATGAAAAATTCACTAGTTGCCCCGGCTCTTATTGCAATCTTCGTTCGTGGAATTCTCGCGAAATTTAGCCACCTGCAACAGGACAGAGGGCGGACGACCCTCTTCGATGTATACAAGCCCTTTCTTTCTTCCGCCGTGTTTCATCTCAAGAAGACGTCCCTCTCCGAGTGCTGCGAGTAGTATCAGAGACACAGAGGCTGGTATGGCCTTTTTCCTCCCCTCCTTCTCTTCCTGTGCCTGGAATGATTTTATTAAATTTGCTCTTATCATTCCGCTCGGCGGTAGCGTATTGGCCGAGACGACAGCGCTGTTGCTTGGTAACAGAGCGAGGTACGCGGCATTGTTCCTTTTATCATAGAGACGTACGACAATGGTATCGAGTCAAACACTATATACTAAATCAAATCAAGCTATGTATTAGATTGAACCATTATATGTTGCGTTCCACTGAAAGCATTTTTGTATTTAAATTAATAACCTGAAACTTTATAAAAAGCATTAAAATAATTATTTATGAGGAGAAGAAAGAGAGAGAGAGAGAGAGAGAGAGAGAGAGATTATACGAGAATTTAAAGTCGATATAATTTCGATTTATTTTAAACGCTATAGTATTAGAGAAATGATAAAAAATATATTTTTCTAGCAGAGCTTAAATCTGAGTTGATTTAAAAGAAAAGCTCGCGGAAGAATTAATAAAATTGTTTAAACTTACGAATAATTGTAAAAAAATTAATCAAATTGTGTTAGAGAAAAATGTAATCTTTTGATATTTACTTCCACATTTTTTTTATTCAACCAACGATCTTTTTTCTGTTACAGTGCCCGATCCCGATCGTGACCGTTCGTTTGATCGTTTGTGTTATCATCCACGTCTAATCGCCTTATCGTCCTTCAGTCAAAGTGAGAGTGCGCGAGTATCGAATTTGTGATTCTTCTCATCGCGATTTCTTCGTTCGCGTTCGGATTCGGGTTCGCGATCGCGTGTGTAGTGGCATCCAATGCGGCCGGACTGAGCAGCGAGGCGCGTAACTACTGGAGATTCGGACCGAGGCTTTCTTCACTCCCTTCGTCGTCCCGCACAGTTCCGCATTGCCAGGTAAGCATCACGGAAATGAGCTCGAGAGAGTATATTTCGCGCGGGCAATGCGCGTGAAACGACTCGCGGCGTTTCGCGGAAGTAGGATGGGAGGGGGGGGGGAGATGGCGAGGGGGGCGAAGAGGGTGACGCCGACGCGGCGACGGATAGTTTGCAAAAACTTGGTTAAGTCGCTTACAAAGAGGCAAAGTGACTGAGTCGGAGTAAAGCGAAACGCCGCGCTAACTTCGGAGCACTTCGTTATAAAGTTGGGAGTTGAATAATGTATTTTTATTATTTACCCGAAGCATGCCGCGGTGCCGCGCGGCCGTGGTGATATATCGGATAAAGTCGCTTGTAATTTCCGGCGAACGTTAACTTCCCGCCGAAAGAAATCACACCGGATCACGCCACAACTTTCTTCAACGCGGGGATATTTATACGCCTGTACGAAGAGTCGGTTCGTGCCGCACGCAGGACGTGTTTATTTGCAAAGTTTTGCCCTCTTGTTCATTAAGATTTTTTTTAACAATCTATACAAGTAAAATTAAATTAATGCGTTACATGAAAATAGAGATAAAACTCAGGTAAAAAAGTCTTAAAGAAGTAGTATACCAAATATTTTTTCCATATCCTACTCAAGGATCTAGCAAATTTATCCATTAACAAGTACATAAATAAGGAAACACAAAACTTTTTAAATTAGTTGTTTAATATATAAAAATTTTAAAATATTGCTATCAAACCATAAGAATGTTTAATGATCTTTTTATCGTTATTCAGTTCGTAAACTATCAGAAGAAATTTTTATAAAATTATTACTGACTATAGAATAAAAGAGGCCTCTGAAATAGTTTTGATATTATATACCGTAATTTTTTCTAAACGTTTTTTATTATTTAAAGCTGTAAACTAAGTCAATAACCAATGCTGATTAATAATCGACAATAATCGTAATATGCAATACGGTCAGTGTTGATTGTAAAAATCGTTTTGTAGAAATAATTTTGTTGGACCATTAAAATAATTATTTAAGAAACTCAAGCATGATGAGCAATGCTGCACAAAGTTTTGACATTCTAGCTTGAGTGTCTTACATAATTATTTTGATAGTGCAACAATATTATTTTTAGATCCAGCTGAATTTTATGTACTTCAGCAAAACCGTTCTTCCCTTGTGGAAATAAATAACTCCAGCTTTATTCAATTTAATATTAATTGAAACAGTTTTAAGATAGAATTCATCTCATATAATATAAAATGTTTTTTATCTCATATTTTATTTATTTGCATGTCTGTATTGAAATCGTTCACTTGCACTTGAGTTTCCAAGCGATTTTGGAAGCTTCCTTTGTAAATGTATGTGATAATTAATTTACGTATCTTGACGTGAAGGTACGTCTTACCGAGGCTAACACGAAACACGCATGAAAGATCGAGCGCAAACGGCGTTCTACCATTAAGTAGTCGAAGCGGAGAAAACGCCGCCGCCCGCTCGATAATGCATCATCGCGTTGCACTATTTCACGGGAAAATGCGCCGGCACGTTTGTCGACGAACGATTAGCTCGCTCGCGCGACGTACACGCAAGGCGTAAATCTTGAGGCGCGACGCAGATTTAAGAGGCTCGTTTGCCGAGTGCGTTGCCGACCGATGCACAAGTACGAGGCCAAGTTGCGGTCTCTAATTTATAGGACAGCCGAGTCAAACTAGAGAGCAGTTTTTTTGCTAGTAAAGATTCCCCGAATTTAAGCCCGAATGTAATTGACGTCCGGTCCTGTCCTCACATTTTTGTCCTTCTCGTTCTCGTAACAGCTTTAGTTAGTAACTCGCTTAGGTCTAGAATAGTCCGCGCGCTCGCCAGGTCAATTTGCTTTGCTTCGTTGCATTCGTGGTTGGAAGTAATGAAAGAGAGAGTGGCAAAGAGAGGGAAGAAGAGGGAGGAAGAGAGAGAGAGAGAGAGAGAGAGAGAGAGAGAGACGAGATGAGAAAGTGCCGTCAAATGCAACTTTCGCGCACCTGCAAGTATTATAAAAGCATTGCTTTCTGAAGTTACTAAGAAGAAAATTAACGCATTATTATTAATGCTTATAATATGTAATTAATAATTTAATTAATAATTTAAAGAATAAACGAGAGAAAACGACGTGTAAATAAGATCTATAATTTTTTGCCGATAGTTCATTTTTTTCTTGGCAATGAAGTTCAAGTTTCGATGATTATAAGATTGTGATTTAATATCACTAATTGCCATGAGTCGCGTGTTTGAAGACGAATCGACGAAGGATAGAATGCAAGCAATGTGCACGTGTAATTGGGAATGCAATATGACTTCAGAAATGTTCGGCCTTTGAGGGACACACTGCAATTTTTTTTCTAGCACCGTTTGCGCTTCCGCGCGGCACAGTTCACGCACACATTCATACCTACGTACACACGTATGCGTCTATAGCAAACGAAATGGAATTTTAAAAATTGAATCGCCGAGACTTGCGCTTTACGCTACCGGCGTATTACAAAAGCGCGAGGGCAATTTCATTCATACGTAATAAGATGGGCGCATCTGGCGCCACGCACATAACGGATGCCTTGTCATCGCTTTTCGGAAAAGCCGAGCTGTTTTCGATATTAAGGCACTTCGCGTTATTTATAAACTATTCCCATCGTCGTCTCTCCTTTCGGGCCTTTTTGTCGTTCTCTTTCTCTATGCCCCCTCACCTTCCCTCTTTCTCACTTTTCCTCTCCTTCTAGCTCATCCTCTTCCCGGTATCCGGGTTGGAGAGAACAAGCGTATTAGATATTCCGTTATAAAGAGGCGGCATAATACCGTGCGGCCACTACGCCACGGCACGGGTGGGCAAAACAGCGCGGTGGACCAGGATGAGGGAGACGGCGCGGCGGGGATCGGCTGGTTGTGAGGTCTGCAACGAAAATTAGCATTTTTTCCATGCGACCGACCTGCGTAGCTAATATCGCGGATATAAAGAGGCAAGCGAGTGGTGGCTGGAGGGGATCTGCAGCGAAAGAGGGAAGGGGATGGCCTGAAAAAAAGCAGGCGTATTTACTGCGGAAAGATTAACGTGTAACGAGCTACCGTGAACAAGCTGACGTTAAAGCTTTTTACATAAACGCACGCTCAGTTTTTGATCGCGCTCACGCTTCGCCAGTGTCCATAGACACGGCTCTGTGATCGTTTCATTGTGCCTCCTACGATACGATAGTACACGCGATTGTAGAAAGAGAGAAAAAGGGGCGCTATATCGATTTTCGCCGGAAACAACGCGGCACATTGGTCGAACGCTCGCGTGTTTGCAACTCGCAATTTCGAAATTGCAAACGCGTCTCTATGCAAAAGCACGAAAATATAATTAGTTCGCGTATTACTTAGAACAAGAACGAAATCTATATAAAAGACCCGTTATGAACGATAAAGCCGAATAAATCGTGATCGTTTCTGGGAAAAAGTTCTATTTATTTTGTCTTTTATCAGAATTGTATTTGCTTTCTTATATAAATAATTGTAACAATGAGACAATTTTAGTAATAGTAAAATAACAGTATACATACAGTATACTTTTTTATTACACGTCGTATGCTTTTAAATCATACCTTATTTCAGTTGCTATACAAGCCTCGGAATCTAATACATTATTTGCATAGTCACATCGACAAACTTTCGGTATATTTTTCAATTTCCGCACTTTAAGATAGCTCGTCGCCTGGAAAAGCATATGCGAATCTGTAGGTTACACTTGTTTTCTTTTATCCCTAGAAATCTCCGAGCTTTCCGGAACCTCAACGTTTCGTGCTATATTTGAAACCATCTCTCAAGTATAATGCGGGAATGTATGTGCACAGCATACGTGTGCATGCAATTCTTTTGTACATTTTTTTTGTATTAATTATCAGAATTTATAAATATTAAGCTTACTTACAATGGAACACAGGTGTGTCCCTTCCTTCGATTTTAATAAGCTTTTGATATGTAAAATACAAACAAAAATAAGAGGCATATTTTTTTATAAGTGCATTCTCGTATGCTAAAGGAGTGAAATCCTTGAAACAAATTGGTTTTTTTCTTTCTAGGTAAATATTGTCTAAATCAGAGATATGAAAAAATATTCTAAATAAAAGTTTTACGTTTTCAAGTGCGCTTTACAATGCATATGAATTTTTAAAAATATCATATTTTTCAGGTCTCTTCCACTCTCATTCTTAATTTTCAAAAACTTAAATGCACCGTTGTAAAGTGTACATGAAACCGTAAAACTTTTATTCAGAACATTTTTCCATATTCTTGACGATTTTAGACGAACTTTTCTTACAAAGAAAAAAATGGTTTGTTAAAGAGAGGGTATTACCCCTTTAAAATGCGAGAACGCACTTATAAATAAAAGGAACAGATGTCTGTTATTTTTGTTTATGTATTTTAACATCCGAAGCTTATTACAATCAATGGTTGTGTTTTCTTGTTAGATTTCCAATAAAAAAATTCCAGGTGCTTATTATTTAAAGTTAAAAACAATATTTTTTTCTTGAAGCACAAAAACAGTACGCGGTTTTTGTCACGTAACATATTTTTGAAGAAGGTCAATTTAGTATTCAAATTTTTAACATAAAACTGAATGTGTCGGTGCTCATAATACAATTTTAACTCGCATATCTCATATGAAATTAATCTAATGAACATTGTGCAGTTGTGTACCATTTTGCATCACTCACCGGTCAATTATCGTGCAACGAACAGCAATGAACATGTGTTCCTTAAGCGAACAGCTGGTAGTAGTTTATTGCTAGTGATCAGTAGAATCGGAAGTAGTCTGACATGTGCTCAAAATCATGACGGCGGATTCGCGGGCTATTTGTCAGATTAACGTAATTCACTCTTTAACGCTTGAAATTCGATGAGTTTAATCGATATCTCGCGATGACGGTGAAATATTAACGTAGCGGCGGGGCGATGTATCATGCTCATTTCGCGAAAACCATCTCACTACGCCGAAATGGCGTGTCGAGTGACG